GCCATTATGTACCGGAACCGTGGCTAAAATAGGAAAATTACCAGCTTCATAGGTAAATTACCCACAAATGCACAACTACCCATGATGGAGAGTGTGCCTTTATGAATAGCCACACGCTTGCAGTGACACAGAGCAGTACGTACAGGGCTGACCTTTTGGTTTCGACTGCCACATTACCGGCCGTCCCTTACAGGACACTTGTCAGATACAAAAGCCCCCGCGTTGCATATAACTGTGGGCTAAAACTCCCCACAGGGCAACACTTAATTGCAGCAATGCTCAGTGACGCACTTGGCCAAATAATACATTTAAATGCTATATAATTCCGAACAGCGACTCAACCCTGGCACAATAATTACTATAATAGGTTATCTGAATAAAGTAACACTATACTAGAACAAAAGCTTTATTTAAAAGTTGATGCAAATTGTGACCTTGCTCAACCAAGTAATTGGACAGCAGTGTTTTCATGTCTTAGGCAGTGGTAGAAATTCCAAAGTTCAAGTGACAGGGTGTCAGCCTTTTCATATTTAATGAATGTACAGGTATGGCAAATATGCAATAATGAATGCTGCTTTTCATTCAATTTAAATGTCAAAATATGTCTATAAATGACCGCTGAAAGATTCACCTGTTGAGTCAGAAACAGTGTGCCAAAACAGTGCCTTCGCTAACGCACACGTGTGCCCCAACAGCGTTTGTTGTGAGCATAATGCTACAATGACAACAGGACAAACATTAGTTTGAATGTCAATACAGTCATCGTGGAATATTAACATTCACTGCATAAATACTAAATTTTGATTTAAAGCTTTCGTGACTGCAGGGATTCATATTGTTGGTTCTTTCGGTAAAGTCACGTAGAAGGGAAAAAAAAAGTATTGTTTTATATTTATATTATTTTATTATTTCCCTTCTACGTGACTTTACCAAAAGAACAAAGAATATGCACAAATACTGTCACAACTGAATGCATGAGTCGCTGAGTGAATTGATAATGCAGGGAAACTGCAGATTGCTTTTTCACTCTGCCTGGACAATGAGAGAAAAATAATAACAAACGTATAGGGAGCCCTTTGTCAATCACCGCCGTGTAGGTAATGGGAGTTGTTTGACCATACTTCGCCATGCTGGTCACTGTGGGTGAACAGTAGTTAAATGTACAGCGACAAAAAGGCAGTAATTACACGACGCAACGCTCAATGTTAAAAGAAATAACCGGTCGGTTACGTCACCACTGTTGTCAAAGCAAAGGCTCAAAGAAAGGCCAAGCCCGTCAAGCAACAAACAGCACGACTGAATGTGCAACAGATAAGAGACGATGGGATGAAGCAGATGTGGGAGGGAAGAACCAGAAAATGTGTTTGCGAGCTGCAGTGTAGAGAATGAGTAGCTGGTGTGGTGTGTGAACATCGCGACCGGGGAGACAAAGGCGGCCGGGCGTGGTGCTGGCCACCGACCCCCTTGCGTGCCGTGCCGGCCTTCATAGGTGCTCGCTAACAGCACTTGCCCCAACACTCTTAAGGCTACACGTGGGATCTCTGTCTTAATAGGATAACTTTACAGTGGTTGTCCAAATGGAGGGACGCGTCCCCACCATATGAATGTGGAAATGCCCACCGCATTTCCGATAGAAGAGTGACAATAACAACGTGATACATTAATGGCAAGTAAATATTAGTGAAGAACTTCTAAACTGTATCACGTAGTGACTGGCTACAAAGGCAATTCAATAAGATAGTACAATACATTTTGACAGTTGTCAATAAAACACAATACTGTACTGCCCTAGCATAGTGCAAACGTTATTCTTGTAATAACATCAAATGAGTGCACTGTAATGTTTATGGTGTAGTGTGCTGTTGTATTCAAAAACAACTACAAACTATCATTATCTTAGCAGGTAAGGTCCACTCAGCTGTATAGCTCTTATCAGACGCGACCTACACACAATCTAGATTTGAAGTTTTCGTGACTGCAGGGATTCAGACACTTTCGTTCTTTCGGTAAAGTCACGTAGGTAGAAAACTAAATTAAATCACGACGTTTCGGGCGCAACACAAGCGTCCGTCATCAGGTGGGACAACCACAGCAAGAAACAATTGCTGAAGTGGGCAAAAGGGCTGCTGTAACAAGAGCCTATATAGGTAAGAGGGGGGGGAGGAGAGCCAGGGAGAGACCTACACACAGTTGATAAGCTCCACAAAGTGGCTTATCATGTGGAAGTGTACAGCAACCAAATACTCTAAACACACGTTACACGTTTCTGAAGGTGGAAAAAAAATCAACGCGACCACGTGGACACCCGCAAACTCCAGATATACAGCAGGTGTCAGTCAGGGTCGGGATCGAATCCACAACCCTCTGCGTACCAGGCGAGGGAGTTAACACATTCCTGCGGAGGGAGCTGGTAGGAACGTTGGGTTGCTCGGTCAATGGCCAGGGTCAACGGCGGCGTGGTGTATTCCGCAAATAAATCCGACTGAGGGCGGACACAAGCTGGCGTGAGTAGGTGAAACGTTGAGTTTTATAAGGGCACCACGGGGTGACCAGCCCCTCCCCACCCAGCCCCACCCTCCCCACCCTCCCCACCCAGCCCCACCCAGCCCCTCCCTGCACGACGGACACAATAATCCCCTGTGGGCTGGTGTAACCAGGAGTTTCCTACCAGTAACATCTCTGACAGGGGCACAAGGCACATGCAGCAGTACTGTGCGGTAAATGCCAACTTAGAAATAAAGTATGAACGTCCTTCTCTTCTCGAGTTCGACGCCTATAAGCACATTCTTGGCCGAAGCATGTTCATTAACACAATGGGAATATTCAAATGAACAAAACAGGATGGCTAAAACAGCCGGGCGAGTTATTAACGCAACAGTAAACAAAGCACACAGCCCAAACTCTGTCTGCCCTGAAGGTGAATTTCCTCAACGTCAGCAAATATTTCCCTCAATGTCGAATGTTGTGTTTGTTTGTAGTTTGTAGGGTACTTAAATACCACCACTACCAACTCAGCCCCTCAAGTTGATGATTAACATCAACACTAGTTCCGCATAGTATAAATCGTACTGTACATCAATCACTACCCTCGTAGCAACATGGCAATTTACACACACTACCTTGCAATACGTCAACATGATGACAACCTAACATTCAATTACACAAGATAGCCGAATGGTTGCTTACAATGTTTAAAAACAGTGACATTCCTTCACGTGGCACGTGTCTCAGGTCACACGTGGATTGTTTTTGTGTCTCAGAAAGCTTTCAGCTGCCTTCAAGCGAACACTAAAATACTAAAATCGAACTCTCACGTCCACGATACTACACCGGACATCAACGATAACAGTAACGACTAATAGAAGGCATCAGCATCGCTATGAACAAGCCAACACGTGTCACCACCGCAACACACGTGTCGCCGTACAGTGCCGTACAGTACCACCACCAGACACAATGACACCCACAACTTTAACATTATAGCACTACTTCGACCGTATCCTGCGGATTATAAGACGCACTTAGTCACCCCCTGTGTTTTAAAAGCAAAAGTTAGGGGTGTACGTATTTGATAAAGGAGTGCGAACGAATTTGTGTAACTTAAATCCACTTAATTACGTTCTGTATCGTCTCATGATCAGCAGAATACCAACGTCAATGGGCACACACGTAACGTAGCCAAGTGCCTGAATGGTGGTGACGGCATGACACGGCTCCATGGGACAATTTAGTGCAGGCGTCGGGAACCTTTTTGACTGGGAGAGCCATAAAAGCCAAATATTTCTAAATATATTTCATTGAGAGCCATATAGTATTTTTAACGTATAATAAATTAAATATGAACCAGACTACAAGGCCATCAGCAAAACCATGCAGCACCAGACGTCCCATGAGTGAGTGTGTGAGCGAGTAGTTGGATGAGTGAGTGTGTGAGTGAGTAGTTGGATGAGTGAGTGTGTTAGTGAGTAGATGGATGAGTCAGTGTGTGAGTGAGTAGTTGGATGAGTGAGTGTGTTAGTGTGTAGGTTGGATGAGTGTGTTAGTGAGTAGTTGGATGAGTGAGTGTGTTAGTGTGTAGGTTGGATGAGTGAGTGTGTTAGTGAGTAGTTGGATGAGTGAGTGTGTTAGTGAGTGTGTTGGATGAGTGAGTGTGTTAGTGAGTGTTATTGGATGAGTGAGTGTGTTAGTGAGTAGTTGGATGAGTGAGTGTATGAGTGAGTAGTTGGATGAGTGAGTGAATTGGACGTCTGGTGCTGCATGGTTTTGCTGATGGCCTTGTAGTCTGGTTCGTACGTGGTGAGGTTGAGCTTCGTGCAGGCGTGACCCGTGAAATTTATCTTCAAAACTAATTTCTGTTCACTTTAAAATGACACAGTATTATTAAGTAATATCACAAGTATTTTAAAATCAGTTCCAAACAGATTTTTTAAATTATTTTTTCAACTCAAAATTGTCTGGGAGCCATATGCCGTCACTGGAAGAGCCATATATGGCTCGCGAGCCATAGGTTCCCGACCGCTGATCTAGTGGCTATAAAGTGTCCTGGAAGCTTGCAATTGACTGTGGAGCCAGTGTGTCAAAGATGGGACTAATGTGTCCATGCACATGCAAAGTTCACTTCGTTGTTTAAACATCAGTGATGGCAGGTGCCTGGACATGAGTGATACATGTGACCGATGTGTTTCGTAGACTCTCTCGCAAGGTTGCCTTGAAAATATCTGCACAGCAGTTGATGTGCCTGGACACACATTAGTCAATCTAATTCTGGCTTGTACATACATCACTTAGGCACGCTTAAAACGTGCACGAACATCAATGTAGGTGACATGACCGAAACGTCTGCACGCAAGTGACTTCAAAGTGCCCAAACCCCAAGCAAAAGTGACTTAACCCGCAGTACCCTGGGGACTTTTCGTTATGCGGTGACCTCAAATGTCCGGGGACACATCCAGGCATCTCGACAACCCCCCCAGTGAACTCACTGCACGAACAGAACTCACCCCGTGCCTGTGTCCGTGCTGTTCATTGAGGGCCCTCATCCATGCGTGCCCCAACTCCGCACCCCAGCTGGGCACGGCCGCCAGTCCGGCCACGAGACTCGCCGGGTCGGCCACGCCGCCCAGGCAAGACCGAGGCCCCGTGGCGGCCCTCCCGAGCAGTCCTCGGGGAAGGAGCCTTAGGAGGAGAGGAGGATGAGGAGGTAGGTGACGGCGCCTGCCTCCGCCTTGCTCCAAGTACTGAGCGAGCCATGCCAGCACCGTCAGGGCCGAGGCGGCAAACAGCAGCAGGAGGGTGACCCCCTGGGCGCTGCTCAGGTCCAGGCTGCCGGGGGTGGTGGCTTCAACTCCAGGGAGGGCCTCCATCTCCTGCTGCTCCTGCTCCATGACGGGCAGAAGTTGGCTGCTTCTGCTGATTCTTCTTCTGCGAAGGGGCTTGACCGTGACGCTTTCCGCTGGCAGTCTTTGAGTTGAGTTCACCGGTGGCGAGAGATGAAGAATGGTTGACGAACAAACACGTTAGGGCCAAACGTTTACACTCCCCCCCCCCCCCCCCAAGTCAATTCAATACAGTCCCCTGTACACACGAGTTCCCAACGTGATGAATCGGATTCGTGTATTTCAGACTGGGAGAATCCGATGAGCTCTGAAGGTCTCTCTTTATTTGTTTCTCCAGATGCCCACCAGGTCGTACACTTGTCCACGCCACTGGGATTATGGTCTTGATACTTGACAAGTCACTGTTCTGGCACCTGCCTATTCACGTGTGACCCCCAGCATGTCACTGCCGAGGTCAATCACTCCACTATTGCTCCAACCACCCACACAATTCCCTTTGTTGATGTTGTTGTTGTTGTAAAGTCGGTTTCGCAGTCGCTTTATCAACCTCACTTCGCAGACATTTGGCGAATAGGTGGTGTCTCGTATGTCAGTGCTGGCAGTCGATTCGGCCAGTCGGCTATAGTTAGTCAGTCACCCAGGTTACAAGTCGTCGTCAGTCTGATCACGAAAGTCACCGTTCACAGTTCAATCCAAACATCTCAATTCAAAACGACAACGCAAATCTCAGCGACGATAGCCATGCAGATCCTTCTCGTCCTCTTTATAGACGGACAGCTTACCCAATCGGTCAGTCGGCTAGTCAGTAAGCCAGTCTGTATGCCATTTCGTCAGCCAGTCAAACAATCCATCGGCCAGTTACCGTCAGTCACAAAATGCCAACTCGTCAGTCAAAAAATCGATCAATCCGCCAGTGAATAAATTAATCAGTAACTCAGTCAAACCTGTCAGTCATTCGGTAAGCCAGCAAAGCAATGTTGAGTCTCAATAAGCAAGCAACCACTCAGCAATCCAATAAGCTACTAACTCACAAAGTGTAGAATGGCTCAGCAAGCCAGCGGAGTCGTTCGAAAAGCCACGAAAACTCTCGCTTGGTTCTAGATTGGTGACTCAGTCACCAATCTTGGGGGTAGGGGGTGATAGGCACAGGCACTCACTCAAGTCAGGAAGCCCCCAGTAAGTCACTCGGGTCAGACACTGGCGATGTTCGGTATTGTCCCAGACGCAGACTCGTCGGCCTCTGTCTCCGCGGCTCCGACTCTCGCTTCCTCCCTTCGTGCCGCCCTGATCATTACTAAATTAACACGCGACCACCGTGTCACCGACGCAGCTCGGCTCATTAAACCATTAACTCTATCGATTAGTTCGGAATGCTAAGCTATTTCACGTGGCGTTGCTACTGCTGCTGCTGCTGATATCTACACTGGCGGCGTGTGGCTTGAAGGAGGGCAGCTTCTGATCACTAACGACGGTGGTGGTGGTGGTGATGATGGTGGTGGTGGCTTCTGAGTGAGCACCGAAATCCACGCTGGGACGTGGGGGGTGGGGAGGGTGGTGGGGGGGGAGGGGTGCACCGGTTCCGGTTGCACGACTCTCAGCCAATCAAATGCGGCCGTGCGCCCGGCTGCACCGGTTGCAATGCGCGCGCTTAGCCAATCAGAAACGCGCCCACTACCCACCCACCAATGGGGGGGGGGGGGGAGGGATGGGGGCGTTGTGGTGCAAGTGGCTGCCACTCAAAAAAACGCAACCCGCTGCACCGGTGCTGGGTTTCAAAGGGGTGACACGTTGAAAAAAAAGAGATAAGTTTTAAAAGTCTAGTTAGGCGGTAACTTTAGTTCACATTTGTTTTACAGGTACAGGTCCAATACGTGTCGAGCGGCCAGCAACAAACATCACTAATGACAGTTGTAAAAGATTCAGAGTTAACATGTTGCTTAAGCTGAGAAAGGTTATTTCAAGAGCATGGGGGAATAAGATAATGGTAAAAAATTTACTTTTTTTTATATTATCAGGTGAAACCCACGGAACTATATAGCTCTTTTTCAAAAGCGGCCGGGCCACACATGATAGGTCAGCAAAGTGGCTTATCATCATGTGGTAGTGTATAGCAGCCAAATACTGTAAACGCATGTTTTTAAAGGATCGCCATGGGGATAGAGACATGTAAACTCAGAATATACAGGCGTCAGAGTCGGTATCGAACCCATGTGCTGCTGTATACCAGGCGAGATAGTTAACATCTCCCACCGTGGTAGAGAATTCTAAAGAGCAGTACTAGGGATGAAAGCATAAAGGGAAGTGAGGTGACCTGCAGTATGTTTGTTGGATGGGTGATTGAGTGGATTTATATATGGATGGGTGGATGAGCTAGTGGATGGGTATGTTAATGTGATTTTCAGAGTGGTGGTTGAACACGGTATGTGTGAGACGACCAAGTGTACTCCCCATTGCACCCTAAACCTATCCCCTGTGTGACTAAAGTGATACAAATCTGGTTACTGATACAGGCACACACCTGCCGCTTTATAAGACGCACTTCCAATCTGTTAGATAATACAGTAATCGAATAAAGGAAGTGAAAAGTTGCCTAATACTGTACTTGTGTTTTATTGCAGTGTCAGTGATTTAATAAATGACCAGACTGGGGGCACGTTGAGATGTATTACCTCCGTGAAAGCGGACTTTAAATTCTGGGAAACAATTGTATGACAAGGTGTACAATGGGCAGTGCTTGAAAAGTAGCAGCTTTGAATGATAAAATAGACAACATTCAACAAAGCTATTTAATACATCCTCAATTGTCGACAACATATAAATACATTTTGAAGAACTAAATATATTACGTTTGTTGCAAAACAGTCAAACATTGCTACAAATATGCCACGCTTTTTTGTCATTCCACTGCGAATGAGCGCCTCTCAGCGCCGTGAGTTTTGTGGGAGTTATTGGACGATACTTCACCGATGCAGCATAGCAGAGCACAACAATGGATTGCACCGCACTGGCTTTCTGCTAACAGCAGCCGACAACACCTGTTTGTTTTTATGCATGGGTAGTCACACATCCAAGCGTTATCCAGGCATAACACTGCTTAGCTTACGAGATCCGACCAGATAGGGCATATTCAGTGTGTTTTAGTAACGGGCAATACAGTTAGATCAATTAGTCCATTGAGCTTCACAAACTCGTAACATATAAAAAAAATATTTGCTTAAAATGAAGTACATCCACTCAAGACGAGCATACATATTTACACGTATTCATTTTTTCTCGATCACTGCAGATACACGATGATGGAGCGGCAGCCAAGGAATGGGATCCATCCGAAAGCGCTCGTCTCATTAGGAGATGGGGCATCCAAATCAGTTAATGTTCAGGTGCGAAGTGGATTCATGAATCGCAGGATTGTGAGAGGTGGCGGCTTGAGGCAGGCTTCATCCCAGCAACGGATTGACCACGATTAACGACGATATTGAGGACGCAATTAATGAGATACAAAAATAATAATGTATGAGCACATGCAGAGGGGATTCATTGATCCTACTCATTGAAAGCGCGGTGAAAGAGCGCCTTCCCGTGGACAAGTCCAGAGTTCAAATTATTGGTTCTTTCGGTAAAGTCACGTAGAAGGGAAACAATAAAATAATAAAAATATAAAACAATAAAATTCTCACGACGTTTCGACTGCAACATAAGCAATCATCATCAGGTGAACACACCTGATGATAATTGTTTTATTTTTTAATTATGTTATTGTTTCCCTTCTACGTGACTTTACCGAAAAAAACAATCATATGAATCCCTGCAGTCACGAAAGCTTTAAATCTAAATTTAAAGTCCAGAGTTCTTGTTTTTGTGTTACACTTCTGACAGCCATCAAACACAACGCGTAAATGCAACAACTATTTACGACCTAAAGGTCCGAAGATCCATTCCTAGAAACTGAAGGCTTCGAATTCACTCTGGCAATGTCCCTGAATTCAAGCAGCCTCCAAGTACCCTCACAGCCGACGTGTTATGAGCTTGCCAATACTATTTAGTAATCTAGCAGCATTTGTTTAACAAGCCTGACCCTGTGCCGAGACCAAGATAGGTCGAAACGGATCCGGAGTTGTATTGCTTGAACAAATTCTGATTCGTAATATTGGTGTGGAAAACGTGTAAGCTGATAGAATATATAAATACGTGGAAAAAGTGCCAATGCATTAGGTCTATCATGATGACTCTCAAATAGATGATCCAATGCAGATTATACATATTTATTATTGTTTTTATTTTACCAGGTAAAGCCCACTAAGCGATTAGCTATTTTTCAGAGGTGACCTGGCCACACATGATAACTCATTGAAGTGTCTTATCATCATGTGGGGATTTATAGGAGCAGCCAAATAATCTAAACGCACGTTGATTATAAATGTGGAGGGCAAAACCGGAAAACCCCGAGAAAAACCACACGACAACAGAGAGCGAACTTGCATCCTCCAAGTATTACAGGCGTCTTGCCACGAACCCACGACCTCCTGCACACCAGGCAAAGGAGACAGCATCTCGCCACCGTGGCGCTGCTTGAAATAATTTCCAACAAAGCATCTCACCGCCGACTCAATTCCAGATGCCCCTTTTGGGATCACGCCATTCGCCATCCTGGAATCGCACCCAGATCCAGAAGAGAAAGCTGGCGAACAGGGTGGAACAACGCGCACGTCCAGAATAAACACCTCACTCGAGACGCAAACATCGCTCCTCCTGGTTTTGAAATCCATTTAAATACACTGAACATCGACAGGCCGACTAGCAACATCGCCATCATGAATGGAAAACCAAAGACAGACCTCAGCAGATGAGGGTCGTCATTGCTACAGTGCGAGGGAGGGTCGGGGGAGTGGGATTTCGAACTCGGGTTACACAGGTTCACGATGCAATCCGTCAACTTCTGTGCCATGGCTCCACCAAATCGTGAGTGTAAAAGTCCCTGGGGCAGTGCACTGTCTATATGGCATGCTGAAGGAGACGCCACGTGCTCACACCCTGACTGCAATTGCGTGCCAAAGTTTTAAAGAAAAAACAAAAGATTAGTGCGCTCGGATTTCGGATCACTTCGCTTGGCTGTGCAAACGTTGCAAAACCGATTGCTCAACCTCTCCCGGATGTGTATTCTTCTGAGACAAACACGGGAGGGGTTTGTCAAGTACTGCGTCATTGTATCGTCAAGATCAAGATGTCATCATCCTGGCCACCACCACCACAACCACCACCACCGTCGCCTCTCATTGCCAATGCTTCACTGCCCTCTGGCGGAGGAGATACGTGACCCACCAGGATCTGCCCGAACCGGTCACCTCCACACCATCTGCTCTCGGGTCTTGCCCTGCAAATGACGAAAAAGCTCGTCGTAATAGGAGGGGGAAAAAATATGTACAGGCTTGGAAAACCACAAGTTTCAAACAGCGCAACACCCCAAGCGCAATGTACCGAAAACAAGCCACTCAACCTTTGGTGCGTTATGCAAAAGCCATCGAAAGTTCCAGAGGAACTGCATTCACGTGATCCTCACTGCTTTCCCATTTGCTCACAATTATTTAATATCTGTAAACCCCTTATCAGTGTCTACATTATTACAGACCAATTCAGACCTTATCGGTCACCCCGTGCCCTCTTTAAATCTCAACGTTCATCCTGCAAAGACCCATCACAAGAGAGAAACACAAATAGACACTTTTTTTTTGCTCGTATTGAAACGGCTGTACGTTGTATGGACCTGAAAACTCAATTTCACCTGTACAAAAATAAGGGGTAACCCGTATCGGTTGAAAGGTATGTTACTATACACTACTATATACTAGACTATACATTACACTACGATACACTACACTACTCCATACCTGTCAAACCACTTATCAGTGCCTACCTTTTTCGAGACCAATTCAGACCTTATGGGTCACCCCGTGCCCTTTATAAATCTCAACGTTCATCCTGCAAAGACCCATCACAAGGGAAAAACACAAACAAATACACAACAACAACAACAAAAAACACGGCTGTACGCCCTATGGACCTGAAAAACTAAATTTCACCCTTCATATTCTTAGGTTTTTTACGTGACTTCACCGAAAAAAAACCTAAGAATATGAATCCTTGCAGTCACGAAAGCTTCAAATCTAGAATAAATTTCACCCGTACAAGAATGCGGGGTATAAACCGGGTTGTTGACAGCTGTGCTATTTTGACGGTGACCTTAGGGACAAGAGACCCACAGCCACTGCACGCAGCTCTTCACTGCGCGCTCCGCGAAACAATTTCTTTATATCGCGTGATGTCGCGCGATATATCGCGATATATCGCGTGATGTCGCGCGATATATCGTGCTACATCTCGCGATATATCGCAAATATCGCGATATATCGCCACTCGTCGCGCTGCCATTGGCTCCAGCTGCGCGACCAATCGCCGCGTCCCAGCGCCGACACGAAACACCGCGGACTCGGGGCACGGCGCTCTTCGATTCGTCCTCGTCGGTGCCCGTCGGCGCGTCTCAGTGTCTCGTGTGCGAGTTATTTGAAGCGACTTTAATTCGAGTTATCATTGACGAGCCCCGCTCAACGTTTGGTGCCTCCGCCGCCCGCAGACCTGCGCGCGGCCTAGCGCGTTTTGCCGAGGTTCGAGTGCGCAGCGGCCTCGACTAGAACACTTCCGGTCTGGGCGCAGGTGCAGCGGACACCACCACCACCCCCCTCCCCCCCTAACTTCCCGGGTCACCATGGCGCATACAAGCCTCTACCCGCTGCTCATTAACGTGTGCGCGTCCGTCGCGGGCTTTGCGGCCACCTTGCGTCTCATCCCGGCTTTCTGCCCGCATTTCCTCGCGGCAAACCTGTGCGGCAGAGACCTCAACAAGACGGACGACAAGAAAGTGTAAGCGTCCATAATAATGCAGGTGTTTTTTATTATTTGATCGCGTAAATATATACATGTGTCGATAAACCAGCCAACAGCCGACACGGTCAATTAGTAAGGTTTGTCACGTAAACAGAACGTGGCCAATTCGTCACTAGTACAGCTACACCGGTGTGTTGGAGAGCCAAGCCACAACACTTACAATCTGAGTACGACGTTTCGCCAGTAATTGCAACCAGCTTCATCAGGCGACAGCCAGATTTGTGAAGAAGTCCTGTTTCGTTCCTTAAATAGAGGCGTAGATGTGATGACAACACTTGCACGTGCGCTCTTTTAAACGTGTTTAACGCCCAGCCAGTGTTTTCACGACCAATGTCCATAATAAAGGGATACAAGCATTTCTTTGCGTTAGATCGCCTAAATATAAATGTGTCTGTGACCGACCACCACACCCGACGCAGCCAATTAGTAATGTTTGTCACTTAAACAACACGTGCCCAATTAAGTTCCTACTTCAGAACACCGGTGTGTTAGAGAGTAAACCCGCAACGTTTACAATTCGAGTACGGCGTTTCGCTGGTGATTACAACCATTAACGTAATTCGTTGTAATTTATATGACTACAGTATATACATTAACACCCCACTGATCATAGGCTCACAGCGATGACATCACCTTTACTCTATATAAGACCGAAACATGACATCTTGACAATTCTGGAAAATTGCCTGATGAAGCTGGTTGTAATCACCAGTGAAACGTCATGGAGATTTGTAGTGTTTTCTGAATTCTTGCATATATTGATGAAAAAAAATCTTTCGACATTGGTTTTGTTGTGCCGTTTATCACATTGTTTTAATTGATTTATTGCAAATAATAAATATGCGTATCGTAAAAGGAACAAGCACCAGATTTTCTTTAGCTTAAATTGAGTTCACAGATCACATTGTCCCGTGGGTACTTATGTGGGTATTGGCAGTCACACAAAGTGTCGGACTTCTATAGAGTGACAGCGTAGTGATCAACGCACAATGGTACGAACCCGGCGATCCATGTTTGATTCTCGACTGCAGTTTGAATCGGTGGTGATTATCTGAATCTTTGCTGCTCCACTAGGTTGGCTCGGCTTCACATGAGTCGCTGGTGCAGTGTATGCACATCACTGCCTCGTGCAGGAGGTTGTGGGTTGCACCCTGACGCCTATATATTTGTAGTTTGCATGTTTTCCCCGTGGTTGCGTAGATTTTTTTTCTAGGTCCTCTAGTTTTTCCCTCCACATTTAGAAACATGCATTTAGAGCATTTGGCTGCTATAAATTTCCACATGATAAGCCACTTCGTTGAGCTATCATTTGTGACCAGGTCACTTCTGAAAAAGAGCTGAATAGCTCAGTGCGACTTGGTAAAAAAATGTTTTATGGTTGTTATAGGTGCTTGCAAACAGCACTTCCTGTAAGAGTCTGGATAGTCAAAACAAGAGGTATGTCTTCTTGGTTCTTTCGGTAAAGTCACGTAGAAGGGAAATAATAAAATAATAAAAATAAAACATAATAAAATTCTCACGACGTTTCGTGAGAATTTTTGCATTGTGGCCGAAACGTCGTGAGAATTGTATTATGTTTTCTTTTTATTATTTTATTATTTCCCTTCTACGTGACTTTACCAAAAGAACCAAGAAGATGAATCCCTGCAGTCACGAAAGCTTTAAATCGAAATTTAAGAGGTTTTGTATTTGTTGTGTACGTGGCAGTCCCGAGTCTCTTGGCGTGGTGAGCGGCGCTGTCTTCCTCCTCATTCTCTTCTGCTTCATCCCCGTACCTTTCTTGGGTTGTTGGATCGGCGAAGGATGCACAAACTTCCCTCACGACCAGGTGAGATTACAGTAATCCCTCGCCACTTCGCGGTTCAAGTTTCGCGGCCTCAGTGCATCGCGGATTTTTCGAACTGATTTAAAGGCCTCATTATACCTGTGCAGTAACACCATCATCATCATCATTCATCATCACATTCATCGAATTGCACAGGTCTGTCATCGTCGTCATTGTCATCGTCGTCATTGTCATCGTCATTGTCAGTCGTCGTCGTCGTCGTCGTCATTACTGGAGTCAAGTCTCAAGATACTACTGTCATTGGTGAGTGTAAAACACCATAATACGTATCGTATGAGAGAGAGAGAGAGAGTGAATGTATAATATTAAGGTTTTATAATTAAATAGATTTAAGTAAAATATATATATAAAGTATAAATATACATATTTTAAACATTCTGGTACCCACACACATATACGGAAATTCCTAGGGGGCCAATCCTACTTCGCGGATTTTCACCTATCGCGAGGGGTTCTGGTCCCCATTAACCGCGATAAACGAGGAATCACTGTACCTCCATTACCACAATGAAATTGACAAGCTAGCTGTGAGGGCATTGATAATTTCTTGTATAATGCTGAAAGTTAATGGATCCTTTGGGTTTTTAGTTTTGAACTCATTACCATGTGCAGTATATTCATTATGTTCTCTAAATTATTCCTAAAAGTATCGCCCAAAATATAGTTTTTTATCATCATGAGCAAGTCAACTATTCAAAGGTAAACCATTATGGCAAATATTCATGTGGTTTAATCGTATGACGATTCTAGACTTGGCCTAATTTTTTTTACTTTTTGCTTGTAGCGTGTTACCAAAATACAAAAGACAATAGCAAAGTACTCCTAACAAAGCGAAAAAAACTGCAAATGAGACAAAAATGATACGCACATTACAAAAGAGGGACAGGCGATAACAAGACAAAAACGATTGATTTCTCGAGTCGAATCGTAAAAACCTCCCCAAATCGTGACAATTCGTCGAATCTCTGACAGGATTGTGATCCAAGGTTGATTGTTACTGCCTGTGCCACCTTCCCCCCCTACCTCCCAGTTCGTGGCGCTGCTCGGTGCCCTGCTCGCCATCTGCTGCATGATCTTCCTGGGCACGTTACCAAAATACACAAGACAATAGCAAAATACTCCTAACGAAGTGGACAGAACTTTTCAAATGAAACAAAAATAATACGCACAATACAAAAGAGACGGTGATAACAAGAAAAAAAACGATTGATTGTCAAGTCGAATCGCAAAAACTCCCCGAATCGTGAAAATTCATCGAATCTCTGGCAGGATTGTGGTCCAAGGTTGATTGTTACTTCCCGTGCCACCATCGCCCCCCTCCCTGCCTCCCAGTTCGTGGGGCTGCTCGGTGCCCTGCTCGCCATCTGCTGCATGATATTCCTGGGCTTCGCCGACGACGTGCTCAACCTGCGCTGGCGCCACAAGCTGCTGCTGCCCTCGGCCGCTTCGCTGCCCCTGCTTGCCGTCTACTTCTTGCACTTTGGGCGCACGCTCGTGGTCGTGCCCTACCCGCTGCGCCCGCTGCTCGGCATGCACCTTGAGCTCGGTAGGTACGACCCGGATGTACGTACGGGCCAGTGCTTGGCTTACGAACGTAAATTAGTTGCTGGGAGCCGTTCGTAAGTAAAGTAGTTTCTTAAGTCGGAACACAGCAAGGTACTGTCTTTAAATGCCCATACGGTCAGTGTTATGCAATCTGTTATGGTTCAACTAAAAAGGGAAGCATTATTAAACTCATAAATAATACGAAATGTTGTACATTTGCATGTAACACTAAAAATACTGTATCATAAATAAAACATAAAATAAATGAAACAAATAGAAAATAATCAATTTTATTACTCATTACATAGCTCCGCTGAACAAAATAGTTCCGCGTATCAGTTTGCAAGTGAAAGTTCAATGTGAAAAATAAATATTTCATGAAAGCTGGTTCTTGAGTGCGGGTGTTTGTAAGTCGATGACTGCCTGTCTGGATATTACACTTTTTTGCACCGTACATAAGTCAACCGCGCTCAATGGAGGTTGCTGAAAGTGCCTGTGGGTTTACAGCCTCTGCGAAATCGATCATCTTCGAAACTTCCGGGTGATTAAGATCCTACTGCCGTGTGCTACGTTCCTCTGCAGGAGTCCTGTACTACGTCTACATGGGAATGCTGGCCGTGTTCTGCACCAATGCCATCAACATCCTGGCTGGGATTAATGGCCTCGAGGCTGGGCAGGCCCTGCTCATCTCTGCCTCCATCATCATCTTCAACTTCCTTGAGCTCGGTGGTAAGATCCCATGTGGGAATCGCCTGGCTGCAAGTCTGCATTGAAAGCAAACGGGGACTGCGCTTAATTGTGGTCGAACGGTACGCGGCAGGCGCGACCGTTTCCTTCACGAAAGGAAAAATTTACCCGTAAAAACAAAGTTTTTCACTCTAAATCCTTTATATGCGTGGTGGCTCGAGTCCTCTCGTCCTCTGGCTTGAGATGGCTGCCACCTATGGGTCAGATGATTGTCTGCCAGCATTAAGCAATTGGTAATTAAATATTAAACATTTTTTCCCTAAACAGTGTAAAATTTAGGAATTTTTTTTTCACTAAAATTAATTGTCACGCACAACGAGTCTGTGTGAAAAATGTCAGCTCGATTGGATCACGGGAAGTGGGTTAGAAAACGACCGAAAGATTTGCACGGTCGTAAGCAAGCAAGCAAGCACGCAAGCACGCAAGCACGCAAGCACGCAAGCAAGCAAGCAAGCGAACTTAATATAAAGGATTTAAAAAGAAAGTAGCCCGTCACATAACCGACCACTGCCCATGATACCTTTGTCGAGGAGTTACGAATGCTCCACATCCAGTAACAACAGCTGATGCCACATTTGCTCTTTAAATCAAAAAGTCAATGTTATGTCTTGCTCAAATAAACACTGAGGCTGTGCTAGTCTCTTGTTTACAGCCCTGAGCCAGTGATGGATAAATCACGCTTCTATGGTGGGCGTGAGTCTATCCATAGGGGACAACCACTGTTGACTTCCCTACAAAATGTTACTTATTTTATGAACCTTAGAGGGATGATGAGCTGAGTGACGCAAACCAGCATTTAAACTTGCAACCTTCTGATTGCGAGCCGCTCGCTCTCGCACTAAGCCACCTGGTCGGTGATCAAATGGAGACAGTTAACTTAATAAACATTTGAGAACCTTATTTAATCACTAGGTGACTGCCCGAATTCCATTCCGGGATCTCATTGGTCCTAGTTCAGTGTTCTCGCCTTTGAGTCACCTGGGCCACCTCAACGAGTACCAATTTCAATTTCTCGACGGACATAACTGGCCATGGATGCTGTCTGCATTGCAGGAGACTGCGGAGATGACCACATGTTCTCTCTCTACTTCATGTTCCCATTCTTCTTCACCACTCTCGCCTTACTCTACCACAACTGGTGAGTCGCACCTGCTGTGCGCACACCCACTCGTTTTGGCGACTGGAACGTTCGTCGCCTCGTCACTCCGTGTGCACGTGCATCCGTGTGCCTCGTCTGTGCGGTCAGGTACCCTTCGCGCGTGTTTGTGGGCGACACGTTCTGCTACTTTGCCGGGATGACGTTCGCCGTGGTGGGAATCCTGGGCCACTTCAGCAAGACCATGCTGCTTTTTTTCCTGCCGCAGGTGGCCAACTTCATCTACTCCGTGCCCCAGCTCTTCCACTTGGTGCCCTGTCCCCGCCACCGCCTGCCCCGGTGCGTGCGTACACGTGTTCATAGACAACGAACCCCCCCCCCCTCCCCCGCGTGGACCCCTTTTTTAACGGACTATTGGGGCAAGTCCTGTTAAGGCCATTAGTTGGTGTACGGTGCTTTTTGTGGAATATTTTGCTGTCTTTTCCTGGATTTTCTGTTTGAACATAGTCACTTTATAAGATGTTTTCTTGTTCATGTTTTTGTTTCATGTTTTTGTTTTTTGTTGCGGTTGCACCCGATTCAAGAGCTGAATGGCTCACAGGGCTACACCTAATACATGAAACTGAATTGAGCGGGTGTTGTGGCCAGCATGATGCCTGGATGCCTTTGTCTCCCCAGTGTTGTTGTTTTACACATTGCACCAGGTACATATTTAAGGCTGTCGACCCTAGGAGAGGTCGAGGACTTGTCCTTATATCAATTGACACTGATGTTAGCTGTGGTCCTCTGAGCGTGTGTTCAGCAACTGCGATAAAAAAACCTAAATAACCTGCAACCTTCTAGGGTCAGTGGAAGCCTGATTGAGAACCCCCTGGTATCAATTTTAGATTTGAAGCTTTCGTGACTGCAAGGATTCATATTCTTAAGTTTTTTTCGGTAAAGTCACGTAGATAAAAAATTACAATTAATAAAAGTAAAATAAAAATGAAATACAGCAATCGTGCTGTGACGGTTGCACCTGAAGACGGAAGCTTGTGTTGCCTCCGAAACGTCGTGATTTTTATTTTATTTTTATTTTACTTTTATTCATTTTAAATTTTTATCTACGTGACTTTACCGGAAAAAACCTAAGAATACGAACCCCTGGTATCAGTTGTCATTTTTATACTTCAAGATATTGTATTTCAACCTGGACGTGTTCGTTTAACCACTGGTTAGAATGTTAGCAAGAGGCTGACGTAATTTACACTTGCATGGTTTGGTTAACACAGAGTGGTCATGGTGATGGCGACGATGACGATGATGATGATACTTTTTGTTTCTTCACTTCAGATTGAATCGTGCAACAGGCAAGCTTGACATGAGTTTTGCTAGATTCAAACAAACAGAACTCTCAGCTCTTGGAAAGGCAATTCTGCAGGTAAGCGTTAAAGTTTAAAACACACTTCTCGGTTAGCAAACAGAGAACTGATGTAAATGTCCTCACTATGATGTGGCCAGGCAGCTCATGGCTAATATCATTTCGTAACACTCAGCCGGCACTGCCGAGTTTCCGGCTGTGAATTCAAGCAGCCATCCGTGATTTTAACCCCGGTTCTCAAGTGGAGCAAGTTGATGGTCTGAGCTTGGTTACTAATAAATGTGCATACGCACAGTCATATTTTTTTCTTACTTAATTTCGCCTAATCAAGATCTGAAAATTTAAATATACAGTTATTGCCTTGTGACATTTACTCTTTTCAGGGCATTTGAAAGGCATTTTCTGCAAGTATAAAGATGCCCTATTGACATGACTTCAATAGTAATTCTGGGACATCATCATTCCAGGGCTGTTTCCTGGCACTGCTATCTCTGCAAGAGATCCGGATTTAAATGTCTTCATATTATGACTGATGACAATAGCCCAACTAGAATATAACTGGGGCAATTATTGTTTTCTATATTCGCACACCGTTTAAGGTCGAGGTAGTTGGCCAAGTGGCGCAGTGGTCAGAGCGCTGAGATGGCACGACTGAGAACCTGGGTTCATATCCGGGCATCTGCTTGTTGATTAAACCTGATTCTCAGATTTATAGAGTTTATGGTCTCAGCCCAGTCACCAATTTGTGCAAATAAAAATCTTATGAAATTTGGTTCTGTGCTTAAATGGCCTAAATTCCAGCTACAGAGACTCCTCTACTTACGAACATTCTACTTAAGGACTTTCAGAGATTTGAACAAACCTGTCCATATGTCCAGTTGCCTGTTAGGCCTGATAGCCATAAGTTCAACCTCCGCACAATAGATGGGGGTGGTGGTATCTACATTTGCAGAACATCAAGAACCAGTGGCATCTACATCTATAGGAGATTACAGAACTTTTAAAGCCATTCCCCGTGTTTAGTGTACATGCCGTACAACATGTTTGGAATCGACAGGCGTAAAGTTGTACTTGCAAACATATCGACTTACGAACAGACCTCTCGTTCGTAAGTAAGGAGTCCCTGTATTAGAATTAAGTGTTATCTGGTAGTCATGTGACAATCTTTTACTCTGCAGCAGTGGGAAAGTGCTGCCCCCTAGCGTGTAAACGGTCGTGATTCCTCTTTCCCTCGCACAGAGGTCGCAAACGAGTTTTGATTTCTTACCCGTACCCGTACCCGGCCGCACCAGGGTCGCAAACGGGTACCAGTACCCGTACCCATACCCAGCCGGGTACGGGTAGCCGGGTATCGGGTAGGGTACGGGTAGCCGGGTATCGGGTAGGGTACGGGTATCGGGTACCCGGTTGCGACCTCTGCCCTCGCAGCAGCATCACATTGCACACCCGCAGTGCTTAATTTCAGCCGAAACAGTCGGCAATGCCGTTCCGAGAAGAATTTTGGCACGCCATGTACCGGCTCGCCTTTTTCTGTGCTCGTGATACGTTTTTTTACCATTATTATGATTACTTCGCTTGTTTACCAAAGCAATCTTAATAGAAACGGGAAAACGTATTCACAATCCTGGTAAATCGCCTGGTGAAGCTGGTTGTAATCGCCAGCGAAACGTCGTACTCAAATTGTAAATGTTGTGGGTTTACACTCCAACACACCGGTGTGCTGAAGTACTAACTAATCGGCACGTTTTTTTTACACGACAAACCTTACCCATTGGCTGTGTCGGGTGGTGGTGGGTTAACGACACATTTATATTTATGCGATCCAACCCAAAAAAAAACTTTATTATGAATAATATTGGTCGTGAAAGCCTTCGTGTTAAACCAATCTTAATCATAATAATATGTGAACGCGTGATAGATTTCTAAAAGGGGAGTTTAAGCCCTGGATCCCCCCCCCCCACTCCGCCCCGCCGTACAGGTCGGGGAGAAGCTGCGGCTCGTGGAGGTGCGGCACGACGTTGGCGAGGACGGCAAGTACACGGAGTGCAACAATCTGACGCTCATCAACCTCGTGCTCAAAGCGCTGGGCCCGGTGCACGAACAGAGGCTCACCATCACCATGCTGCTGCTGCAGGTGAGGCCCTCTCGCGCTTCCTCTGGCCCATGCCGTACACTTTCACCGTGACGAACGCGCACGTGGCCATCGTTTTCAAAAGCGAAGTGGAATAATTTTTATGGTCTGTGTTATTACCACCTGAAGTCACGCAAATCGTTATTGAGCACAGCTGAAGCCCCTGTAAGCTACGGCTTTGGCGCTTTGAAAAAAATGGCAACACCTTTGGGCAATCGCAAGTCGATCCTTACTGGAAAACCTCTGGTATTTAATCCACCTTGAAACTAATGGTCCACACTAAACAATGGGGAGTGGTGATCTAGTGCTTTTAGAACTTCACTAATAAGCCAGAGCCCTTTGTTTGATAACCCGGCCATATTTAACATCAGTGGCGAGTGGTATCTGTCCATGCCCTGGACTTCCGCAGTGTCAACTCACCTTTTATGTGGGCCCCCGTCGCAGTGTGTGCACATCAGCCCTGGGAAGACAAAGGCAGCCAGGGCATGTCGCTGGCCACGCGATCTGCTCATGCATCCTGCTGGCTTTAATAGGTGCTCGCTAACCACACTTCCCGCAGGGGTCTTGTGTTGCAATAACCAAGCTTTGTATTTATGCATGTGTGTGTGTGCGTGCGTGTGTATGTGGACAAATGAAGAGCGGTGGTGTATTGGTGAGCGTGCTGCGCCACGAACCGGGCACCCAGAGTTTGATTCCCGCTCACGGCCAACACCAATGACGAATATTTAAACCGGTCCTGGGCCTCTCCTAGGTCTACCCAGCCTCAAATGAGTACCTGATGCGATGTGTAAACATCGCCACTGGGGAGACCAAGGCGGCCCGGGCGTGGTGCTGGCCGTCCAGCCCCTCATGTGCTGTGCCGGCCTGCATAGGTGTTCGTGAAATGTACTTGCACCTGTTAAAGGCTATACGTTGGGGGGGGGGGGGTCCTTGTCTTGTATGTGCATTGCAGGTATTGGGCAGTGCAGTTGCATTCTTCATCCGCTACCAGCTGGCCAGGCTTTTCTACGACGTCTGAGTCTCTTTCGCCGTGCTCGTCCTATGAAGAGTCAACCGCGCGCTGACATTACTCCCGCGCGTCTCTGACAGTCTCGGCACAAGCGTGAAGAAGGGAAGACCTTCCGTCCTGTTTGGTCTTGAGCCAGGGGGGTTTTGTGGGCAACACCTGGAAGTGGCAAATAGCTTCCAGAATTGACAGTGGGGCAGAATGCTTTCGTGGATATGCTGTCTTGCTTTACATGCGTACTTGATTATTACATAAAAAATGTACAATGCCCTTCTTTTAATGCCCTTCCAAAAATGAGCTACCAGTCACTGTGCTATCATGGATGTTTTGCGATCTCGAGATACAATTCTTTAAGAAAATTATTGATATCGTTGGCCACCCAGGGTGGTACTGATAAATCAATGGCTCTCACAAGGAGCTGTGGGCTGAACTCCGCTACAAATAATGTACATTGCAAATCGGCCAGAAGGGCGACTCTGTTGTAAGAAACTCTTTTTACTCTTCGTGTCGGTTTGTTTGACAATGGGGAAAAAAAGCATTGTTAACGAATATGTATTGGAATATGCATACTAAGTCTGCTTTTTATTTCACACAACTGAAAGTGTGCACGCTTACAGCCGTTTTGTCAGTACGCTGCTGGATGAGGGACTCGTAATGCCACGTGGCTCATTGGGTTTATTGGATCTTAAAGATAGAAGTACGGTAAAACAATGGATTTGTATGAACTGCCCTCTGCTGACCACCACCTTGAACACAGCTCCGAAGCCACCTAAGACAGCCTTCAGCGCGCACTCATGGTGGTGGCCGATCCCGTGCACTTATTATCTTGGCTGAAGCCTGCTTAGCTTGAAAGATCTAATGAAAATTAGGCACATCAGCAGGTGATTGGCTCATAAATTATGTTGCTTCTGGAAGTAGCCAGCTGCGATAGGGATGTGTATTCTGGATGCTTGGAGTGAGGCATTCATGATCGGTTAGTAATGAACGAATGCTACATTGATGCAGCATCTGCTTTCAAAGCTACGTTTGTTTCCCTCCAGGACTTGCATTAATCTTGACTCTTGTGACTATCCACTGGAGAAAAAAAAATTTTGGTTCGATTTGGCTTCCTCTAAGGTAGCGGTTCTCAACCTCTCCGGATCTGCGGACGATTGTCAAAAAGATATAATAGCGGATCACCACGCAGTAAAAATACGGTGTTTTGTGAAATCGTCGTAGTCTGTTACAGTTCACCATGGCCTTGTGGGGAGTGCCGGTAAGCAAGGACCGGTCGTTGGTAACCGCTGCCGGAAGGGGTTGAAGTCTGGTCGTCTGGATGTCGCACCTTTTTACTCAAGCAAGCCATGTGTCCAGGTTCATCACGATGGATGTGGCTGTATTGATTTTTGATCAAGGCGCATTTCATGCAGCCTCGATGGATTAAAATTCAAGCGAATAGAAGCAATGTGTGTAAATGGTACATGCATTTATTTTACGTAACTTATTTGAAATTGAATACAAAAGGATGAAATGCAGAATGTTATTACATTAAAATCAAGGTCTATTTGAAACATCTCCAAAGGACTGTGTTTTTACGGTGTTGACGAACTCGCTCAGGAATTGCACAAGGGTCGCGCTTCGTGAAAATGTGTTTATACAGTGATGACAGATCCTACATTCAGGTTGCGTGATGACTTACATGATACAGGATGCACATGGATGTCCATAGTCTCTATACAGAAGCTTAGGTACCATTGTCCTCAAGGAATGTTTACTTATATGGCCATTTCGTAACTTCTTACAACTAGAGTACTTGTTATCATCATAGCACCACATAGTCGAAGCCTCTTTGAGTTGAGGCATTTGCCAGGTTGTGAAAGCTTCATATGGCGAAAACAGTTTGCAAGCCGTCGCAGGTAGGCGCCCCACTCGAGTGCCATTGTGTACACACGTGACCGTTTGTCACTCGGATCAAAGCTGGCCCCAGAACTCAGTTGGTTGCCAATTTTGCCTGGGCTTGGCCACGTATCAGAGACAGTCACAAGGAACTCCTGCCGCAACAGGGCAAAGACGAGCCATCCGGGGATGGGGAGGCACCCGCAAAACTCACCCCGCCATGTGACTGACACTTAAGATACAGCACAGTATTTGCACACTATTGAGTGTTTGGTTTCGACTTCGCAATGAAAAGCTCACTGCTGTTGAGATAAACTATTCTGCAAACACCGCAGCAATAGCCAGATTTGTAAAGTTTCACATTGCCAGGCCTGGCTTGATGTTGAGTTGACAATACAACACAAAAAAAACACAATGTTGTTCATGATCAACGCATAGGTGGGTTTTCTCTTTGGTTAAAATAAAAGGGAGACATGTATTTCAAATAATCCATTAATTTGTTATTTACACAATTACACTCGTAAACATTATCTGAGAAAAAAAACGTGTTTTTAATGTTTAGTCGTGTATTATTACAAACCTTACATGGGACCCTCACATCATTGGTTAGTTACTCTTTTAAACTTTATTCATGACCATGTCATCGAATTAAACTGAATGGAAATCCTACGAAAAATTATATTTGAGTATGGTGATTGTGTCTAAAATGTCAGGTCATCTAAAGAGAGGACATGGCCCTGGGCTATTTGATAAGTTACGGGGGGCGTGAAACCTCAACATGCCAACTGCTCTAACTCTTACAAAAGCGCTCAAACTCCATTGCGTTACATAACTGGACTTAACCCAGGGCGGGTTGTGGGTCGTGCTGTATATCACTGCCGGTCTCAAATCCAGGATTTGCGAACACAGCCAGTGACCGTATAGGAATGAGTTCTTATTTCATACGTGAAGATTGTACCGTGCATATCGACACATTTGTCTTGCCGCAGAGCGGGAATAAGATCATTCCCCCCTTCACCTGCTTGTCTTCTGCAGGAAAACAAAAGGAAATCCGTGTAGGCAATGGACCAGATGAGATTTTGGTTACCACGAGTAGTGGAACATATTTAGAGTTACCGGGTTCTCTATATGGCTTAGTCAAAGGGGATTATGCAATAACATAAAATATTGTTATTGGCATTATTCGGTTTTATTGCCCATTTAAAAGATGTTGGTATAACTCAAGTTTTGCCATCTCAGGTGGTATCAATGAGAACAATGTTTGGTCTGGGCCCAGAGACTATGATATTCTTTCGAGGGCAGCAATTCATATGGAGAATATACAATATATCAGGCATGTAACCAATGTAACCTTGCGCCCAAATCCAACAGCATGTGATTCGCATAAGTTGTAACTAATCTACTCTCATGCACAATTCAAAGCACGTGTCATAAGTGTCAAAATACAAATTAAACAATGACTCGATGTGCCGTGCGGCTCCCACGGTAGTGAGATGTCAACTACCTCGCCTGGTATCCAGGTGGATCGTGGGTTTTATCCCGACGCCGACGCCTGTATATTTGGAGTTTGCATATTCCTCCCTGTGGTTGCGTGGATTTTTTATACGGATCCTCCGTTTTCTCCCTCCACATTTAGAATCAGGGCGTTTTCAGGTATTTTGTCCGCTATATATTTCAACGTGAATAGCCACTTAGTTGAGCTATGATTTGTGGCCAGGTCGCTTCTGAAAAAGAGCTGCTATAGCTCAGTGGTAAAATAAAAAGTTTAAAATAGTTAAGTTTCATTACTTGCCTATAAATAATCTCAAAGCATATCCACTCCCACTGTGAGTCTGAACCGCAGCACGAATTTCAATGCCCTTCGCATTGAATCACAAAACGTGCGTGGCAAACGAAGTCGCGTTGTACACTTTGAGTCGCATTCAATCCAATTCTCAACATTTTGGGTTTTTTTTTCTCTCCATTACAACCATTTAAGAAACCCATTGCCTGTACCACCCCGGCCGGTGAACAGCAATCGTAGAATTCTAGATTTGAAGCTTTCGTGACTGCAAGGATTCATATTAGGTTTTTTCGGTAAAGTCACGTAGGTAAAAAATTAAAATTAATAAAAGTAAAATAAAAATAAAATAAAAATCACGACGTTTCGGAGGCAACACAAGCTTCCGTCTTCAGACGGAACCGTCACAGCACGATAGCTGTAATTTTTTACCTACGTGACTTTACCAAAAAAAACCTAAGAATAGCAATCGTAGAACCCTAAAACGCGCCCAGACCCGGACCTCGGTAGCTGGCCGGCCGCGCTCCACGTTTGGCCGACGCTCGGCTACTGCATGGATTTCTTGAAGTCCTCCAGACCCTGGTTGCACTCTCCGTAGTACGTCAGCTGCTTCATGCGCCCGATCCACGCGACGAGTGACGGGTACGACGCCAGGTTGTATGCGATGGGCTCCAGCATGCTCACGTCCGTCACCATGCACAGGTCTGGCGGTGGGGGAGGGGGTGTGCGTGACGGGGGTTGTACACACGTTGAACTTCTTTCGCACCGTACGTAGCCAACCATGCTCATCGGAGGTGCGGGGGAAGGACAACAAACTAAACGCACACAACGCAGTTCTGAAGAAATTGGTTTTCAATCTAGATTTAAAAGTGCATGGCTACAGTGGCATCCGAATATCACAAGTGTGGATGAAGCCAACCTCCCTCTAAGTCGCCACCATCGTTAGATATATTTAAGTCGATCTTGAAAACTCGCCGCTTTAAACTGGCCTTAACCCCCGAGTTTTGTGCATTTACCCTCGTTCTCCATAATCGAGGTTTTTGGGTTAGATCGCGTAAATATAAATGCGTCGTTAAACCCGCCACCACCCAGCTATGTCGAGTGCTGTTAAACTACCCTCAAATCTAGATTAAACTACTCTCGTTCTACACTATGAGACCTCCTTTACCAGTGGCAAAATATAGTAATAGGTTTTTACCCTTTCAACTGGTACAAAAACTGACACCTTTATACAAGGGATCATGTTTGCAATAACCACAACACAAGCAGTCAAAATGCAAACAAAAAGAAACAACTCTGATAATGATATGCATTGTTCTTGAAGTCATCTGGTCCAACACCAATTGAGACGAGGCTCTAAGAAAAGCTGTCTCGGGTGTGGACCAATTAACTTCAAGGACAGTGCATATCATTATCAGAGTTGTTTCTTTTTGTTTGCATTTTGACTGCTTGTGTTGTGGTTTTTGCAAACATGACTCCTTGTAAAAAGGTGTCAGTTTTTGTACCAGTTGAAATGGTAAAAACCTATTACTACTACCCTCGTTCTGTTTATTTCCTGCTTTCCATGCACGGAAGGCATTGGGATCTATGGATAAAATGTGCCTTACAAGTGTAAATTATTGTTATTATCAGTCTCGCGATGCAACAATCCACCCAGGTGCCTGCACATGAACCGGGCTAAGCTCGCCATCTCCACGATGGACGTCCTTTGCGTGCCGTTCCCACCTTTGCCTGCCACTTAGCAATCACTGTCACCGCCCGGCCGTCATTCCTGAGAGCGACGTGTCTGCGCTGGCCCACTTGACTTAACATCTCTCTCTTACCCCTTTGCCGTTCTGATGACGTACGCGTACGTGCACGTCATCGGAACAGAGAGCGGAATAAAAACTAAAATAAAACAACTTTCTCGGTACCGGGGCTCCCGCAAGGCCATGCGGGAGGGCACGTGGCACGCCAAACCGCTGTGCACGTTCCGAAATTCAGAAGGTGGACGGGACCTCCCCCACCCTTTAACTTGCCATCGTCTCGGAACAGGAAAGGGAGGTTACTTGTGTGTGTCCTCTAATGTAGGTGTTCGTCTTTCTTGTCTCAATGCAATTCCACGCACGCCCCTTTCCACCCTTTCTCTGAAGCACTTTTCAGCCTCAGTTCCAATTTCTTTGCACATGTTTCTTGATCAATCGAACTGTCACAATTAGGGCCCCTCAAACTCCGAGGCCATGGGCTGCAGCGCCTAAAGGCCCAGCCTCAAATCAGCTCGCAGAGCCGGCCAGAGAGTCTCACCTGCGATGGTCATGTGGTTTCCTGTCAGGTACTGGTTTGCCTGCAGGGTTTTTTCGAGGAACTGCAGCGCCTCCTTCACCTTGGTCTCCTTCTCTGGGTCAGCTGGCTTCTTCTGGAACAGCTGAGGGCGCTGCATAGCCAAGACAAACGCGCGCACATACACACACAGACGACAACTATCATCAACACAGCCTTTAAAACAGAATGTTGCGGCAAGTGCTCTCGCGAGAACCTGTTAAGGCCAGCATTTCGTGCGATACAAAGACGGAGGCAGATACGCATACATATGAAAACACAAAGACAGGCGTGCAAAAAAAATCACATAGGACACATACATAAAAAAATGATATAGACACAGACACGCACAAAATACACAGTTATGGGTAACTGATACCATTATTATCATAGAATTTTTTTTATTTTGTGATTGTTTTGATTTTCCACGAAAGTCTCGCCGAGTCTCAAGAATTTTGTCAAGTTGTTTGGAGGTGTGCGGAGTGCATGTTACTGGTGCTGTGTGTGTAATCCCAATTGCAGGTTATTCTCCATGTTCTGGCCAATACCAGTTCGAGTGAAAATTCCATCAAAAGTGATCTTGCATCGCACCTTGGACAGCGATAGTCGCAGCAAATCACCGTGAAGGGTTACACAACGGCAGGATCCGTGTTTTCACTATGAGAGGGGTGCAACAAAGATCCCCCGTATAGCCTTAACAGACCGTTGGGGCAAGTGCTGTTAGCGAGCACCTATGAAGGCCGGCACGGTGGCACATGAAAGGGGTGGGTCGCCAGCACCACGCCGGACCGCCTTTGTCTCCCCGGTGGCGACGTTTACACACCGCACCACAGTACTCACTCGAGGCTGAGTCGACCTAGGGGAGGCCCAGTCGGCCCGCTTCACATAATCGTCACCGGCGTCGGTGTCCGTGAGCGGGAATCGAACTCGGGTCGCGGCGTTTCGCAGCGCAGCGCTAACCGCTGTCACCACCACCACCACCACCTACCAAACCCCTCCGTGGGAGCAAATTGGTACGTTCACACTGACCATGTACTCCACGATGGCCTTGTTCACTGTGCTCAGGCTGATGTTGAGCATGAGGTCCACGCGGGCGCGGGCAGCTGCCTCCCGCGGGTAGAGGGCGTCCGCCTTCTTGGCGCCATACTTGTTCACCAGGTACTGCAGGATGGCGCGGCTGCCGTGTGGAACGGGGGGGGGGGGGTAGAGAGGTCAAAGACAAAGAATATCCACCCCCCCCCCATCAGTGTCGGATTATCCGAGTATCAAAAGTAGCTACAAATGCTACGGGGCCCCGCACTTTCAAGGGCCCCGCGCTAAATACTTTAAAGCTATCAATTCCTGTTCAGTGATTCTGCACTTGCTCTATTACTATAGTACTATACCGCCTTCAACTTTTATAAACGACCGTGCCACCTCGAATCCGCTCCTCCCTGTGTCTCTTCTTTGCCCCGTCGGGAGCAGGACGAGGCTCTCTGGCTGTGCGCGTGTAGGCAGGCACCTGCCCGCGATGCTCTTTTGGTAACGTAATTCTTTTATTTTTACTTCGAGCCCAATTGTGCCACTATCTCGGTAGCACAGAGAAAGTGCATCGTGCCTCCGCAGAAAAGCCGATGTCACAGAGCTGCCTCTGAGGTCCCTTCAAGTGGCCTGCGGTGCACACGCCGAAGCGAGCAGCACGTTCCGATCCGCTCGACAACAGGAGGGTCAATTTTGTCACGTGACGGTCAAGCCAACAATTCGTTCTCGAAGCTGGAATGTCGCCAAATTTAACAACGAAAAGAAGCGTAAAATAAACATGTGCGCGGTCATTGGTGACCGGGCTGAGACCATCAAGATCACTACATTTAAGCACCCAGTTCAATCACAGGTGTCAAAGTCTCGTGTCTCCTCGTCCCACGCATCTATGCAGTGCCCCCTACCCTACCACCTCGTGTCCCTGTCCCTACCACCGCGTGTCCCTGTCCCTACCACCACGTGTCCCTGTCCCTACCACCACGTGTTCCTGTCCCTACCACCACGTGTCCCTGTCCCTACCACCACGTGTCCCTGTCCCTACCACCACGTGTCCCTATCCCTACCACCACGTGTCCCTGTCCCTACCACCACGTGTCCCTATCCCTACCACCACGTGTCCCTATCCCTACCACCACGTGTCCCTGTCCCTACCACCACGTGTCCCTGTCCCTACCACCACGTGTCCCTGTCCCCTACCACCACGTGCAGCCGAGCGCTGTGCTCCTACCCCCCCACGCCACCCTCATCCACACGCCCCTCACCTCTCCCAGAGTCGCAGGCCGCCGTCGTCGATGACCGGCACGGTGTGCATGGGGCTGATGAGCTGGAAGTCGTCCTTGAGCTGATCGCCCTTCATGAGGTCGACGACGCGCAGCTCGGTGCTGAGTCCCAACTCGCGGCACAGCATGAGCACGGCTCGGCACGGCGCGCTCATGGGGAACCAGTAGAGCACCAGCTGGCTCGCCTGGCGCGCACGGAGACGGAGCCGCGTGGCGGCCACTCGCCGGTTAGGTACGGGGGGTTTCGTGGGAGACAAGCCCCCCCCCATTCCCCATCAATCCCCAGGTTAGGGGCCGTCCATAAATGACGTCACGCGATTTTGGAATATTTTTGATCCCCCCCCCCCTTCGTCACACGGCGTCACAAAAAGTCAGACCCCCCCTCAAATATGACGTCACAAAGCTCTGTTCGCCCCCCCCCCCCCCCCGCAAAAATAAAACATGCTTCAAATCGCTTTAAACTATTGTCATTGTAGTGCGTATTTAACGTGGCGCTGCACTCTGATGTTGTAGGAGAAACCATTTATTAAAAAGTCTATTTAATTAAGTAGAACGTGTTGTCTATATTTATTTAAAGTTGCGCATTTTGATGTGACGTCACATTTCTCAACCCCCCCCCCCCTTGTCACACATCGTCACAAATGTCTGACCCCCCCCCCTAGGTGCGTGACGTCATTTATGGACGGTCCCTTGCACACACACACAAAGTGCTCGCCCACAAGTGAACCGCGCGATAAACTCGCCGATCTCGTCGAGAAGCGTAAACCGTCAGCATCCTCGTAGAGACGGATTTTTCGCTGACCATCGAGCAAAGACGCTCACCGCCTCGCGCCCTTTCTGCGGCCGTCTGGAGCGCTCTTTCTTCCGATATTAGGAAGCCATTGGAGCGTTGCACTTTTAAATAATGGAGATTGAAAACTCATTTATTTCTAACTTCTTTTTGTGTTTAGCTTGTCGTCCTTCCCCCGCACCTCTGATTAGCACGGTTGGTTATGTACGGTGCGAAAAACAAGTCAAACATACACACGTAATCCGACAAAATCGGAAAATGTCGCCTCGATGCGAGATTGAATATTATTGGGTTTGTTTTTGGAGTAATTCGAACACGTGATGTCGCGGAAATGGCGGCGCTCCCTGTGACGTCACGACCGTGCTTTTGCCCGCCAAAGTTGGTGACGTCACTTGTCGGCGAGGAAATTCGAAAATAATCCCAAGATCGCAATTTTCCACTTGAGGTTGGTCTCACGGCTAACGGCCAACATCGGTGACGATTATCTGAACGGGTCCTGGGCCTCCCCTAGGTCAACTCAGCCTCAATTGAGGACGTGATGCCGTGCGTAGTAGGCGCTGTCGGGTGTGGTGTGCCACAGTGGTGCTGCTCGCTGACTGCACTTGCCCCAAAAAGTCTGTTGAGGCTACACGGGGGATCTTTGTCTTTGGTGGTGGTGGTGGTGGGGAGATGACCACTGAGCCTGATTGGAGGATCGTCACACCCAGGCAGGGGTTGTAACCTTTCAAAGAAGAAGATTTTTTTTTTACTCTTTGGCTCTATTTTTTATTATTTTTTCCTTTCTACGTGACTTTACCGAAAAAAAACAAAGAGTAATTCCTGCAGTCACGAAACCTCCAAATATTTTTTTTTTGTCTTCGACCAAAATCGTTCGAGAGACGTATCACACGCGGGGCTACTTGAACGCAAACACAGTAGCAAGCACACAGAGATGCCAACCCACGCGGTTTAACCCGAATTCCCGTACAGGGGAATTGAGTTTTCAGGTCCATACGGCGTACAGCCGTTTCAATACGGACAGAATAAATAGTGTTGTCTCTTTGTTTGTGTTTCTCCCTTGGGATGGGGCTTTGTAGGATGAACGTTGAGATGTATAAGGGGCACGAGGTGACCCATAAGGTCTAAATTGCTCTATAATAAGCTAGGCACTGATAAGGAGTTGACAGGTATGAGCATGTATACGGCAGGTGACAAACACATTCTGACTTGAATAAACAAAACAGGCGATGGAATAAACTGCGTCTATTTAGCTTCACACCCCCCCCCCCCCCACTTATTTGTTAACAATACAATCTTGATTTGAAGTTTTCGTGACTGCAGGAATCTATTGACTTGTACATTTTGTCGTCACATTCCATGGTGACCCATTCCCTGCCAAATTAAACACATTCTCTTTAAAGTCGAAACGGCTGCCCGCAAAGGAGGCGAGCCGAAGAGCCTCAAGGAGGAAACCCGGACTCACAGCTTGAGACAAAGATACAGATCCCCTGTGTAGCCTCAACATACTGTAGGGGCAAGTGCTGTTAGCGAGTAGCAACCTATGAAGGCCGGCACGGCACGCGAATGGGTGGGTGGCCAACACCACGCCCGGCCGCCTTTGTCTCCCCGGTGGCGATGTTCACACACCGAACCAGGTACTCATTTGAGGCTGAGTCGACCTAGGGGAGGCCCAGAGACCGGTTCAAATCATCGTCACTGGCGGTGTTTGCCGTGAGCGGGAATCGAACCCGGGTAGCCAGGTTCGCAGCGCAGCGTAGCGCTAACCGCTGCACCACCGCTCCCCACAGTGGCTTGAGAGTGACATGATGGAGGAACCAAAGTCATCGGCAGAAGCATCAGCTGAGCGCCTCCTATGTTGCCCTGATAAGCAGGCCTTGCCCCTGTGTGCCATGACTCGTGTTGTACAATAAAGAGGTCCCCTTCAATGTGGGAGTGACCCCGTGTTGTCATTTCATTAATAAAATGTGATGGATATTCATGACGTTGAAAAAAAAAAGAGAGCGGCCGGCCAGCAACAATCGGCGAGCTCCGAGTCGCCGGTCCCGCACCGCGTTGACTGGGGTCGGTCGTGGGTCCGTCCGTCGGTGTGTTGCGAAACGAAGCCAACACCGGCGCAGAGCGTCGCGTGTGTGGACTGACCCCCCACAATGGCTTTTATCTCAGTTTCTAAATAAAGAACTCTTGAAAAGCCTCCTAACCGTCCGCCCAGCTAACGCTCAGATTCAATAACGGGGCGGTGGGGGGGTTAGCAGAAGTACAAACAGTTCTTGCCCAATGGTTAGCCGTGTTTTATTGACTTCTCATTGAAACCCTATCGGCACAAATCACACCTCCCTTTGATTTGTCACGGCTCAGTAAAGACCCTTTGAGTTACGCCACACGCAAAAAACGACAGAGAGAGAGAGAAACACACACACCTAGCCGGGCACATTCACCGCAGCGTCGTAGCCTGCACCCGGGGTACACACAACACGACTCAAGCGAAATGGGTTCAGCTAAAGTGCGCTAAACAAACGCACAGAGAGACCAGAGTCAACGAATGCGTCATGAAACCCGATCATATAACTGTGCCGCATAGATTCTAAATCTGACAAGTTTGATCCCAGTAAGTAGCAGCATCATCAGCGGCAGCATCATCATCAGCAGCAGCACCATCATCAGCAGCAGCAGCATTATCATCAGCAGCATCATCATCAGCATCAACATCAGCAGCATCATCAGCAGCAGCAGCATCATCATCAGCAGCATCATCAGCAGCAGCATCATCAGCAGCACCATCATCATTATCAGCAGCAGCACCATCAACATCAGCAGCACCATCATCATCAGTATCAGCAGCAGCACCATCAACATCAGCAGCACCATCATCATCAGCAGCAGCATCATCATCAGCAACACCATCATCATTATCATCAGCAGCACCATCATCATCAGCGGCAGCATCATCAGCAGCATCATCATCAGCAGCAGCACCACCATCAGCAGCACCAGCATCATCAGCAGCAGAATTATCATCAGCGGCAGCAGCAGCCATGGTCAATCCGCTGCCGCTGGATGAATGCCTCCCAAAAGACGCCACCCTCCTCCTCGCGATGCTGCGTGCGAACTGATTTCATCGCTCCATCTCCGTCGGCTGGTCCCCGTGTTCCATTTCTTGGCCAAGTATCGGTGTTCAAAATATCGGGAAACTTCGTGAGGGGGCCTCGACAGAGACATTTTCGTGTAGATGTCCCCCGGTGTTGAATGACTGTGCAAGGCGCAGGGTCCCAATGGCATTTGGCACGGATTCTGTTGGTTATTCTGCCAAAATAGTGTCCACCCTGTCGTTGCGTTTGACGGGGGAGTCGCTGCATATTGCACGTGGTCAATCGGCTCAATACGCTCGGCATTAACCAATTCTAACAAATGTGCAGCTATTTCTCAATCCACTGCTGGAGTAATGCCCCTGCACGCCGTGCCAGTTGTAAGAGGGTGGGGGTGTTGACCATACTTCACCACTCTGGTCAATGCAAATCGGTGCAAATTGTTGAAAGGGCAGTGAGGTGAGGTCTGGTCACTCGTCAATTATGTTCACCGCAACCAGTAATCGAACTTTGGTTGCCCGGTTCATGGCAGTGGGTAGCAATTCGTGATAACCATTGCACATTGCACCACTAATCGCCCCCAACCAATGTCAAATCTGCAACCTAAACCACAGTGACCTAACACTGCCATTGTTAAGCAATTCAAGTTCTCAAGTTCAGGCACTAAATAATCACAATTGGGGCTTTAATTAGCGTAATAAAATCTCCGTTTACATTGCTCTTTGGAGAGCAGTGCGTTAGAAGTAAGTCAAGGAGGTGGGTCAAGGAAAGAACCAAGTTCAAGTAAAGTCACGTAGAAGGGAAATAATAAAATAATAAAAAGAAAACATAATAAGATACAATTCTCACGACGTTTCGTCCTTAGGTGAATAACAAGCCCTGTTCTTCACTTGAGGACGAAACGTCGTGAGAATTGTATTTTATTATGTTTTCTTTTTATTATTTTATTATTTCCCTTCTACGTGACTTTACTTTAACTTGGTTCTTCATTCCTTAACAAGCCCTGTTCTTCACCTGAGGACGGCTGCTTGCGTTGTGGCCTAAACGTCGTGAGAATTGTATTTTATTATGTTTTATTTTTATTATTTTATTATTTCCCTTCTATGTGACTTTACAGAAAGAACCAAGAAGATGAATCCCTGCAGTCACGAAAGCTTTAAATCGAAATTCAAGTTCAAGTTATTGGGGTCACTGATGCTGTGGGATTTTTTAAAAATTCTTTTTCATCGAAGCAAATCGAGTGGCGATGGGCAGGACGCGCTCGTGAGAACAAGAGACGAGAGACAACAAATTAACCCGTAAAAACAAAGTT